TTGCCTGCCTGACTATGTCATAACATTAGCTGCAACATTACAACATTTTTTCTGCTTAAAACGAATCCAGGTATTACACAAGACAACAGATCACCATCACAGGCTCAAACTTGCAGAGACGTCCGTGCCTAATAGTTCCATGATGGTCTACAAAATATGCTGTCATACATTTAATAAGAATGTGTTTTGTCTGTCTGCTGTTTAGATCCAGGGATTGGGAGCTCCCTAATCGGGGGTTTCGAACACCTCTACCTTTTCGTCTATCACGGTAGCCCCTGGTGCGTGATAATCACCTTGTTAGAGCTCAGTATGGCCTTGCGTATGCAGAATCACGATTCGAACGATCATCTCAGACTGTTCAATTTAATAATACCTTATCCGAATAGAGATTCCACAGCTGACCGCATAATAGCAGCTCGCTGTGTGGTGCCCCAATCGATGTCGCTTTCGAGCAAGGTCGTTCTCACCAAGGCACCTATTAAAACGTACCTATCTGGGTGCACATGGAGCCTTCCTACCAAACGCTGATATTTTTAAACCTCGTTATCTGAGTGTAGACAAATATTAAAAACAGATATCGGAGCTTGGTTCGTAGATCAAACGGAAAGAAAAGGCCGCATTACATACTCATCATGAAATTGCGCATTAATAAAGATGAATAAAATCAGTCCGTTAAGTCAATCCACATCCCATCAACTGGGCCCAGTGCGCCCAAGAATTTCATCGTTTTTACAGGCAGACTAGCAATTACCCATTTTTATGAAATCCCTGGATGATGACCTAATTTTCCATTAACTTTCAACGCATGCTTTCGTTACTTTTTTCACTAACTCGCAAGCGTTCGGCTCTGGATCAAAGTTCGACAAAAGCACATCGTATCTCCGGCCAATCAGGCTTAAATGTTGAGTTTCTGGAAAATTTTTGCGTGCTTTTGGCGCCGAATTCCTTATTAAACGAACAAAAACCGAACACCTCGAAACGAAGTCTTGCTGGAGTTTCTTCACTCAAAAAGTTGTTTTATTTCCCCGCACTGCAAGCACTAGGTTTTTCTGTGACTATAGTTTATCAGAATGACGCACACCTGACTACTGAAACGTATTAGCATGGAAGAAGTGAGTGTTTAAAACAGTTCATGGTTCACTTGCTGCCAGGCGAATGCAGATAAAAGTATGCGTCATTATCCCCAAATTTTATACGGCTTGGAGGTTTTTTATAAACTTTCACACGTATCTGTCTGCCTATTGCGATATCTCCACTATCAGAGAGATCCGCTTTCACCAGAAATCTCGTTTAATCCTCAAAAGCAAGCTTCACTTTCACTCGAAATATCCCAAATTACTTGAACTCCCTGTATTCCTGTTTGCAGTTACTTGCATTTTTTAACTACTGATCGACCCAATCTGCTGATTTGCCTTATTTTCCAACCCCCTTGTTCTTCTGCTTTAGTTGGAAAGCAGGGTTTCTTGGTTCCATTAAATTCAGACATTGTTGAGTATAGCATTAGCGCGTACTCAGTATCACCACTTCAATTTCTCTCTTCACTCCTCTATAGTGACGGTAGTTACAAGTAGAAACACCTAGCCAGCTGTTTTTTATCACATTGTTTCTACCTTTTGCATCATTTTTCTTAATTTCAACTAACTTCATTACAGGCAAAAAGCATCAGTACAACCTTCAGCGCCGTGCTGCCGAACAAGCGCGTGACAGTCCAGCCACTCTTCAACCCGAGAAGGCTCGCGTAGAACCCAAGAAATTTATAAAAATCGGTCGACCTGGTTACAAAGTACGTCCATTTCCTGTTTTTTTTTCATCTACCACATGTCTTTCCATACAACCCTATGGATGTCTCGCAAAATTCACTTTCACCATTCTAACTGAATCGATGACTACAATATGAGCGTTCCGTTTGGCCTTGTGAATATTGCCTTCACTGATTGTCGGACACTGATGGCCGGCCAGTAGACAAATAGTTTTACCGACGCAAACAGGGGGGAATGGGATTGACCACTTCTGGCTTGCCTTCTGTCTTCAACCAGTTATAACCCGACTTGCCTAGGCTTGACCATTGAACCTGACGGACCCCGATGCAGCGATCATATACGAACACCAGCTTCTGACGACGAACCCAGTGGTTCTTCGGAGGCCGCTCGTATTCTACTTACTTATTTGTATTTGATAAAACTGTAATGATGCTTGATTTAGTCGGCTTCGACGATGTACCTCTTCACGCGTGACGATCTGCGGCAGCGGATCTGGACAGCTCGGCCCATTCTCTTTTCTAGCAACGGAGACCGAATATCGAAGGTCCAAGAACAACTGTCATGTCTTGAAGGGCTGTGTCGAGCCACGTCTCGGGTTGTATTCCTCTTCGACGCCTACAGGTGAGCAACGACGCCTAATTAAGGGCAGTAGCATATCTTGTGAGGTGGACGACAAAGAGCATGCCCAAATCGCCTTGCTTGGATGGCCTGGAATATCTTTACGGTATTCTCGCAGCGATTGCGGGCCGTTTCATTTGAAACAAAGTCGGCGCACTTCACTGAAAGAATGATTCTCAAGCCGTGATGGTTAAATACCTCCATTATTCACTCATCTTCCGTACACAGCCCAACATTCACAACAATAGAGAAGAACGGAACAAATGGACGCGATGTACAGGTGAATGCTCGTGGCGAAGAAGATGTCGCATTGGATCCACAGGTTTTCTAAGATTCGAAAAAAAGCCGTCGACCAGCATCGATTCAGGAAACAATGTCATCCATACTCTATCCACTCCACAGCGGTCTCGTCCTGCTGTATTTGAAAATATCTACTTTTTCAAGTTGTCAACCATTCACCCTGAGGGAGCCATCTCCTGTTATGAGATGCAGTTTATGGATAAACTGATCGAACTAGCTATTAAATTTACCTGGGCATCATAGGTTGTAGCTAATTCAAGCTTGAGTCTGACAAGGCGCTATCATCAGCGTAATCGAGGTCAATCCGCCAGCGTCCGAGTGCAAACTGAATATTGTAGCAACCGCACTGGACCCATCAGAGTCCAGCCAATAGCATAGTTGAACTGAGTGAGCGACAGGATGCAACCTTGTCGGACCTCAGTGGTGGAGCAGATTGTTGTGAACGGAAACTCGCGTGGTGGTAGAGCATTAATAGGCCTTGATCACGGTGATGGTTTTGGCCAACTTAGTTCCCCTATCTGTCACTGGCAAAGCAGGCAACTGTGGGTTGGTGGTAAACATGACAGAGTTGCAGAATTTTCCGCAGTGCTAATATCTGGTCTGCGCATCCACGCCCAGCTCGGTGTCTGGCTTGGTTTGGCCTCGTCCTAGAAGTACGCACACCTTTGAATTGCTCGAGAAGGGCAACAATGAAGACTTTTCGGGAAAAATGGACGATAGTTCTCGCGCTTTGTATTATGTCCTTCCTTGACGACAGGTAAAAGAGTGCTCAAACCCCAGTCATCAGGAACGACCCCATATCCCCACGCTTGCACACTCAGAGTGTCGACACAAAACTTGTAGTTTTTGAACGGCAATACGTATTCTCTGGGGGCCTTATTTTTGCAATCTGTTTTGCATAACCGAAGCTCCTCCAGAAGGGGTTCGTATGACACTACATAGGCTGGAGAGGCATAAAACTCCGCTACAGGGGAGCGCGAGAATGTGAAGGGTTGCTAATCGAAGTTAACTAAGTGCTAGAAGTGCTCACGCCAGTGATCAACCTTGGCCATGCTGTCGGCAGTAAAGCCGCCATTTACATCGCGATCAGAGCCACTAAGTGCCGAGGTCTTACTTCTAAGTTGGCGAATAAGGTTGTTGTCATGTCTTGCTAACGTTTGAGGCTGGTTCTGTGGAGATTCAGTCTATTGCAAGACGTATCTCTTACCGTCTGTGTACACAACTGCAGGCTTCCGCTGATTCAGTCACTGCGGCGCTGCTGGGTAAGTCCAAAAATATTCTCAACTGCTCCATGAACTGGTGACTTCATTAATTACCATTGACCACTACCTTCTCCGTCGACTCGGGTCTTAAAACAGGACCAGATTTATCCACTCAAGGCCTTAACGGTACTGGGTTTACGAAGTTTTACGACATCGGGGCGTCTCGTACGTGGCATTTCGGGTCCGGATGAGAGGTGAACTTTCAGGCGTCTGTGAACGAAAGCACGGTCGGACCCATCGATGTTACGAGTTTGGATACCATGTCTCTATCTGCTATATTGAATGTAGCTGCGACCCCTTGAACCGCCCAGAATATAGTCGATGTTAATGCCAGATAATAAGATGTTTTAAGGATGCTAAATGTCCGCGTTGGTTGCAAAGTCAGTTCTGATAAGCACCATTGTTCCATCGAGGGTCAAGCCGAAAACGGCCAATAAGGAGACTGTTTCAAAAGTCGCCCAGTCCATTCCGGCCATTCTGGTCTCCGGCAACAATTCGCAGATTGCGACAAAAGAGTTGTTTAACTAAGTCCTGCAGCTGTCAGGTTGTAGGTTGCTGCGTACACAGAGAGACGAAGGAAGTGTTGGTAAAGTGGCCCTTCTGTCGCATTCAAGCCACCCGGCTATTGACTGCTTCCTAAGCAATTAGTGCATGGTTAGCTTGTTGCTAGAGGGTTCTCACCACGCAGAGTCTACCGGAAGAGTCGCGTGCATCGATATGGTGGTACAGGATGAAGTTACAGATGGCTCCCGGGATATTTGTTTCCAGTCTAACACTGTGCGCCGTCAGACTTTGGGTACCAGGGTCCGGAGGCGTTCACAAAGTCCAGCATCCATTACCAAGTGTTCGTTCCGGTTTCAGTAGTTTACCTCCTGTACTATTTTTGCGCACTACTGGAGCAGAATTGTAGAGCGTGTAGTTTCCCGTGGACACCATAGCATGAATCGCAATACTGTAGTCGAACATTTTAATGTGTATTCTTAGTAATTTTGAGGACAGGCGGGTCCCAGACAGTCGCACGGATATTTTTGAGACTGTCTTCTCCATCGCGTTTGCTCAAGAAGCCAACTGCAGGGCATCGGCGGCAATCCAAGTTTATTTTATTACTGTTTCCAGTCACTATCTCTCAAAGCAGTATTTGTAGAGTGCTGAACCGCAGCTCGCTGCACCCCGGCGGCATTGTCGCTGCTGGTTTGCGCCTGCTTATTCATCAGACCCGAGGGAGTCTGCTTACTTCGCAGCTAAGCTTCTCTGAAGACCGTTTCAGCATCCGTGACGTGCCGGATGTGAGCCCATCGAAAACGAGCTCACTATCCTCCTCCTCCTCCTCCTCCTCATCCTCATCCTCTTCAGAATTTCAGAAGTTCAGTTCAAATGTCATGCGATAGTACATATACTATACAAGATAAATCCTGTTTCTTCTTTTTAAAGACCACACAATGTAGGAGGCGTCGTCTGTTTAACTTATTTGCAACTGCTGATAGAAGCGAATGGACAATTTCAACCTATGCTATCAGGCTTATGACTTTTTTTTATCGCGGTTACTTCCACCCTAGTGAAAAACTACAAAAATATCCTGTAGAAGCAAGGCTTGCAACATTTGTGCCTCATAGGAAATTTAAGAGGCACCGACCACCTGGTTACTTTTTATTTGTTGAGAACACGTATGGTAGCTGCCAACTTTCCGCTGCACTGAGTATTGGTATCTGGTTGATTAATAAATCAACCCAAATCCCTCCTAATAACTAAGTGTGCCTGTTAGTCATTCTGGTAGATTCTAGATTGATTGCTTAGGAAATCCTGCTTAGGCAGTCAGCTTACTGTACCAGACTCGGTGGATTCCATGCGTTACGCTGCTCCCGATGGAGCCTCAGTAGCTCAGTCAGCCTTGAGCGTTGATTAAACCAAAGCCTACCCCTTGCCAGCGTAGGCTCGAATCTCACCGAGGCCGCCGAGTTTTCCCAATTGGTTATTAAAATCTGCAAAACCCTTCCTAATAACGGAATATTCTTCTTGATGATGATGCCTTCTGTTTCGTGTGTGTTCAGGTAACCAAACAGAAGGATCCCGAGACCGGACAGCAGTCCATGCTCTTCCAGATCGACTACCCCGAAATCGCGGACGCAGCCGGTATCACTCCCCGACATCGTTTCATGTCCGCCTATGAGCAGAGGGTTGAACCGCCGGACAGACGATGGCAGTACCTGCTGTTCGCTGCGGAGCCCTACGAGACCATCGGTTTCAAAGTGCCCAGCCGTGAAGTGGACAAGGATCCGAAGAAGTTGTGGACCTTTTGGAATCCAACCTCGAAGCAGTTCTTTTTGCAGGTAGGTTTTGTTGCCTCCCCCCCCTCCCTCCTCCGACCCCTTGATCCTCTGATATATTTTGCCTGTCTCGCGATGAAAGGAATTATTACTGCTGCAGATATCCCTAGGCTAGTGATGATTCAGGACCCCGGGGGAGGCCGTCATCTCTGCAACGTGTGCATTCTCAAGGGAAAATTCGGTCTTTATTTTACGGCAGTCGGGTACACTTTGGGCGCTCAGTAAGGCACGAGCAAGGAACTATTGATATTGCTATTTGTAACGGCATTGTTTACAGTACGGCCTAGAATTCGTGAACATACTGACATATGCGAAAGATTGATACTCTCTCGCTAATCGGCGTTGAATAAGGTTGTAATACTGATTAGCATGTAGTCTATTCTGAAGCCATTTCAGTCAGGATAGGATGCCGGCTTTTTAAAGAGCTTCTTTCTGACCGCTAACAAAATATATGTACTGTAGGAAGTGGCTTCTTAAGTATTATGTATTTTTGTCATTGATTTTGACTGCCTTTATAAATGAAAATATATTTTATCGAAACCATAAAAGAAACAATTATTCCTCGTACTCATTTGGTAGCAAATTTTATGCTTATAGACAGAAAGAAAGGGTACCATGCGGTTTTTGAAAAATGTCTGATTATGCGATTGTTTACGATTGTGAGGTGTTCATTCATTACACATCACATCCGTCATTTTATTAATGTTGCCTATAATGTAAAGAGCATGCTACACATAAGTTGCAATATTTTATGAGAACTATGTGACTTCTTCTTCAACTGTGGCCCAAAACGTGCTTTTCCTTAAACAGGATGTACACAGCGCACAGTTGGTAAACCTTGAATTCAAGCGTAGCAGTCAGTAGGTTTCAAAATTATTCGGCAATTTAGAAACTTTTTGAAACCGAAAGATACCCTTTCTTTAAGTATAATATTTAAAGAAGTCGTAATTTGCTACAAAACGAGTTTAAGAAATAATTTTTCCTTTATGTTTTCCACATTTGGCATAGCTGGGACAGTGGCTGGGATCTGGGGATAGAAATAGTGGGTGAGAGGTTGCCAATTGACGGGATAACTTAAACCGCGCAGTGGCCGACTGGTGGACTGAGAGTCAGACTGCAATGGCTCCCGAGGAGCGGCTCCGGTCGTGACAGTCACCTGCGTCCTATCCCACCCCCGCGGTCCCAGGCGTGTGGTAGGAGAGAGAGAGAGTGCGATATGTGCAGTGCCATTCAACTACCATTGTGATCTAATTCATATGTAGCGCCGTCCACTACCACCGGCGCCAAA